ATGGGAGCTGAGCTGAACAGAAACAGTTCACATCTGAATATGGTGCAAAATCAAGCAGATTAAATTGTATTTTTTAAGAAAACAATTCATACTTTTGACATTGTCTTCCTTTGACAAATACTTCATAAAATTAAATGGAAAGACACATTTCCCTATCATTTTGAAATATTAAATTCACCCATACCATTATCTCCATACTCGAGCCTAACCGCTAAGCCGAGAAGCCAGTCCACTGTTTCTTGTCGTTCTTGTATTTTGAAGGGGCAGTTTACGTCTTTCATATACTGCGGAGTAGAAAAAGGAGAAAACAGATAGATGTTATTGACCTGTATGAATTAAGCTAGGAGCACAGAACTGTTTTGCAAACAGTCACTTTCCCACAGACCTTACAGTAGTTAGAAGATAGTTATTAACAAGAAGCATCTTTGTGAGATGTCCTGCTGCGGCATCTGATCCATCCAAGACATTTTAGAGCGCTCCAACCCACCGCTAACGTGAGTCTGCCATTTAGTAATGGCGCATGCTTTTTAATGAATGTTATTCATTGTCAGGCTGCAACCAGAGACACCAAAATACCTTTTTCTTTGCTCTCTGTTCATTTTACACAGTAAGTGGAAGTAAGGGAAAGGACAAGAGAACAAATTGCATCAAAAAGTTCCCATCTAAAGCAGGAAGGAGGAATGATGCTACCTAAGACTTTCACAATACTGGTATCAGAGGATTCTGAGGGGCAGCAGAAGTAATTTTTCCTTTCTTAGGGATTGTGTACAGTGGGAGAGGACAAAACATGGCTGGGACACCATCTTTGCTCTTCTGAAGCCAGAACACAGGACCCAGCCCAACCTGCTGTCAAGACTGCCAAAGCCCAGGACATAGCAACATTCTGCTGAGTCCCTTTGCTGGACGGAGAGAAGTGCCCACACAGCCCCTACTCCAGCAGCAGCAGCACTGGAGGGAAAGGGCACCAGGGGCTGGAGAGGACAAGCAGTCAGGGAATGTGTCTGATACTATAATGCTTTAGGCTCCCTCATGCAAAGCATGGGCACTGCAACTCCAATTCTCCTGGGCAATGAGCAAGGCCAGCAGTTCTGGAGGGGAGTGGGAAGACAGAAAAAAAAAAAGAGAGAGAGAGAGAGAGACAAATGGGCAACGGAGCATTACAGAGCAGCATTTTCAGCTCCTCATAGGGCTGTTTGGCGAAAAAGGAAATGGGAAGCAAGAGAGAAAGCTCAAGAGCCCTGTGGTGACTCAAAATGCTCACAAACCCACAGGAGATCACTCACAAAATGATGGCTGCTTGCCACGCTTTGTGCTAGCAGTGGAAATCTATCTGAAATAACAAGAGGTGCAGAGATGAGCTGTAGTAGCTTTCTTCCACACGCAAAGCTTACAAGTGCATTAGCCTAATCCATTTTCCTTTTGGCACATAAGAATCATTAATGCAGAAAAAGCTGTTTATTTGTAGTCAATTTTCTTTCTACTTCAAGAGCTGAATCAAATCAGGCAAGAAACAGATTAGGATAGATACCACCTACTGCAAAAAACATAGCCGAGTGAAAATTATGTACAAAACATGCTACCATCTTAACTCTTACAGTTTGGCTTCAATAATACAGTTAAATTCTTAGAAACATAAGAGTTCAGAGACAGAACAAATATTCAGAGTCACTTACATTCAATAACTACAGCAGCTATTAATCTCCATTTACATAAGACATCTTTATAATTTAAAAATGCGTTTGAAACAACAAAATACCTTTTCAAATGATTTGGGCCAGTCATCACTGTGTATGTTTCTTAAATTCCCTCGGTCTTCAATCTTGTAATGCCTGATTTTCTGGTCTTCAAGCCAGACAATAAAATTTCTGAATTCTGTTTCATCTGTCAGGAGAAGTAATCAAAGTAAAAATTAACCAAGGGCAAAACTCTGATTCATACAAATACTGATGCCCCCAAGCACTTTCGTATTTTCCCATAAAGAAAGATCTATTTAACACTAAAATCATGTATTCCGGGATAACCTCTGACCAAAACTCAACAGTGAGGGTTTTTCATTTTTCAAATCACTTCAAACTGGCTATGGTGGAGTGACTACACGAAAAGGCATCAGCCAACAGATTGTTTTTATTTGGAATATAGTTATAGCTTGTTAAGTGCAGAAGGAAAGGTGAAACTGTGATAGAGAAATTCAGTTCCCAACCCTGTTATTCGGACAAACATGTTATGTGCAGCAGTAACCCGCCCCCCGTCTTCCAAAGAAGAACACACACATCTTGTGACTGCACAAAGACATTTTCTTCCTTCACCATTGACTCAACTTTTCTTTATTGTTGACCTAACATCTCATTATTTGGGAGCTGGAATTCCACAATACAAAGACCATGGTCCAAAGATATTCATAACAAACGAAGCAATTAGCCTGCACCTGCACTTCAGTGACAGAATTCACTTCTGGATACAGCAGACCACAGCTCTAGGGTATCACTGGCCCCTCAAAAGCCAGCTGCAGTATTTTGGCATTGGATGAGCTTTAATATCCCAAGTTAATGAATTTAATATCCTCCTGTATCTCCATTTTCCCCGTCAGGGATGAGAATGATATGTTTGCTTCTCAAAAGTGTCTTCTAAAAGATGCAAGTGCCCTACTTCTATTGAATGTGCTGTAAGAAACAGAGACACAGTCACAACACACGTGAAAACTTCCAATAAGACCTTTTAAATCTTCTACGGTGACAAAATGAACCTTAAAGGAAAAAAAAAGGAGCGTTAACCATAAGGAACTTAAGAAGATGCCAGTAGACAACGCCCCTTGAAAGAGAGGAGAGTCTACCAGAAGCACTGATAGCAAAAACCTATTACAAAGATGGCCTGAAGCTTATAATCAATCCCACTGGCTAAAGACATTTGTTACAAGGCCCTTTCAAGCAAGAAAAGAAGTTAATTGTTGCAAAAATCAAACATCAAAGTCTTGATATGCATCAGTGTATTAAAAAACAGTTCTAACTACGTTAGTACACTACTCCTTATTCACCACACTGTCTCTGCCTTGCTTTGTGTACAGAACACATCGGGCTCCAGGCAAGGTAACGGAACAGAGAAGGCTGTTTTCTGTGGCATGCATGACTCCAATCTCCCCCATTACGTAAACCAAGACTCTTGACGGGAGGAGGCCAAGAACAGCAGCGACGTTGTCTACCCCCGGATTGTGTCTCTGATTTTGCTCTGTCCCCACACAACGCTCCAAGAGCCACCAAAACCAAACCAACCGCACACACATCCTGCGATGCACGGGGCTCCCGGTTTTCCCAGCGGAAACTCGGGACTTTTCCTCAATAATCTGCTCCACCTAAAACTTTGAACCCAAAGAGCTACACTAACACTCAGAGCCCAACAGACCGTTCCAGCCTTAACCTTCCCTCCTCACCCCCACCGGCCCGGGAGACACGGGGACACGGCGGGGGTGAGGGCGGGAGGTTTCCGAAGCGCTGAGGTGAGGGGATGGCAACGGGAAGGGGCGAGCCGCCCCGGCCTCAAA